ATCTACTATCGAGGTTGATTGAGAAACTGGATGGGCACAAAAATGAATTTATTAAAGAACCGTCTTTATTCAAAAATATCGCAATTTTTGACTTTAAATCAATTTGCGTACCGAGTGAATAGTTAGAACCTACAGAAACATTAACCTGGAATGAGAATGATGAACCCCAATCAGTGTCAGTTTCATCCAATTTGCTTAACTACCCCATTTTTTGTGTGACAAAGATCCAAAGTCCCTTATCATTGAAATTTTGACAATGTTGAAATTTTTTAACGGAGATGCTATCTAAGTGTCTGGAAAAAAGCGGAGATGCTATCTGAGTGTCTGGAAATTGAAGATATCATCAACAGCGACAACAGACAATATTTAGCATCCCTAATGAAAGTGTCAGTTTCCATAAAAGTAAAACCAGAGAATACGAAGACGAACATATGGAGGATGAAGTGATTACTTCATTGTTGATAGGTATTGCAACCATTGTTAAACTGTTTTCTAAGCAATGGTTGGTTATTCCCTATTCTGTCCTCTTCAAGAAGCTAGGTCTAGCCTTACTGTTGATGATATCAAACGAGAAACCAGGAGAAGAAAAATAGATGATCTTAGAAAAGATGACATTCGAGAAAAAAGATACTCGATAAAATAAATAAGATAGTGTAGTTGGTGGGATCAATCTAAAGACAGTGTAGATGTAAAAAATTACGTTACAACTCAATTTCCCTTCAAAATACCTCTTTTCTCCAACTAACTACTGCAAAAAACTAAAGATGAAACTATGTCTGGCTATATGCAACTTGATCTTTTTATACCAGATGAGCTAAAAGCAAAGCTCTCCAGTTTTCTGCCTATTTTCAAAAACAACCTTGTTACCAGAAAAGATACTCGGTAATAAATAAAGATATATGCGTAAGAGCACATTTTGTTAAAATAAACACAATGAATGGAGATATCGAGCTTCAACGTAACCAACGGCACATTTGTTACACCACTCTTCACCTTCTGTTCAGCTCCTGGGTTGCAGTGTACAAAAATTCATCGATTTGTACTAGAAACACCGCTAAGAATTTTCAAAAGTTTCGTTCAATCTGTTGTTGATGCTAGGCGAGCTGTGATGAAAATCCCTTATCCGATCTGGTAGATGACACATTGAATTTGCTGGGAAATTGTTCTTCAATAGGACTGAACAAATGTGTATTGGAATATTCTGGAGGTGGCTCGATGACAAAATTTTGATAAGTACTGGATGAGGCAGTGAGTTAAAGTCAACTAATAAAGGATTTAAAACGATTTGACATTCAGTAGCACTTTATGGACAAACTAAAAGTGGACTGAGCTGTTTTTACTTTAAACATGAAGTTGAATCTGATTGAATACATACTAAACCTCTAAAATTGTAAGAGATTATGTAGTAAAATTTATACGACGCTGTAAATTAAAACATTTTCTCTGTAAACAAAATTCCCAAAACAATTTTCCTCAACGCCGCGCTTGGGTAAACAATATTGTGTTTTTTTTCGTTTCAGAAAACGTTTATGATCTTAAACATTGCTGTATTGGCAAAATCAGGCGCCAAAATTTTTTCGAAAAACAAAGTTTTTTTTCGAAACTTACCATCTTACCATCTGAAAGGGTATAAATATCTGAAGTAAATTACTTATCTTAAACCATGGGAAATTTATAGCCTATCTTTTTACACAGGGTGCTGAACGGATACTCTATAGCCTATCTTAATACATGTGGGTCTGCAGCCCGGGGCAATTTGGCTCCAAGATTTATTACTGACATGAGGGGAGGGGATAAAGTAGGGGGACAGGGACAGGATGTTTGTGTGTGTGTGTGTGTGTGTTTGGAAGCGTTGGGGTGTGGAGTTGGGCAGGGGATGTTCGTATTCGAATACTATGGACTTCATAAGTCAAAAATTATTTTTGATCTTAAAATTTATCGTGGATTGAACAAATTTTAATATAAAATATAGCTATGTTGAACAGTTTGATTTTAATGGCAGGGACAGTCCATAATTTGGTCTAAATTTGGCATGATTAACGTTAACCTAAACAACTTGTTTTCTCGAAACACCAAAAAGGATAACAATTGCCCATGAAATTTCAGTGCTGGTATACTAAATATTTGCTTCATCACTATAGGACAAGTAAATTACTTATCTTAAACCATGGGAAATTTATAGCCTATCTTATTACACAGGGTGCTGAACGGATACTCTATAGCCTATCTTAATACATGGGGGTCTGGAGCCCGGGGCAATTTGGCTCCAAGATTTATTACTGACATGAGGGGAGGGGATAAAGTAGGGGGACAGGGACAGGATGTTTGTGTGTGTGTGTGTGTTTTTGGAAGCGTTGGGGTGTGGAGTTGGGCAGGGGATGTTCGTATTCGAATACTATGGACTTCATAAGTCAAAAATTATTTTTGATCTTAAAATTTATCGTGGATTGAACAAATTTTAATATAAAATATAGCTATGTTGAACAGTTTGATTTTAATGGCAGGGACAGTCCATAATTTGGTCTAAATTTGCCATGATTAACGGTAACCTAAACAACTTGTTTTCTCGAAACACCAAAAAGGATAACAATTGCCCATGAAATTTCAGTGCTGGTATACTAAATAGTTGCTTCATCACTACAGGATGAAAAAAAAATGCAGCAAACTATAGAATTACTTGAGTTATTGAAACGTAATAAGCCAGATACCTACTAAGCAATGGCGATTTACTCCGAGACCGTTTTTTTTATGGAATTCAACAACAAAAGTTAATGAAAATTTTTTGATCAAGTTTATTTTCAAATGCTTTTAACATTGCAAAATAGGTACCTAATAAGCTTCAGTTGAAACTGAATGATATATGCCAATAAAAATTTTCCTTCTTGCATGAAGAAATTTGGTCGCTTTGTTTGGCATTTAACAGAATATTTATTAGGACAAACTTTTGTTCAACAAATTCATTATAATCGATATTTATCTAAGAAGATTTGGTACGGGTAACCTAAACTTTTGCTTTGTTTAATGCTACTACTCCATGTAGAACAAGAAAACGGCGGATAATTTTAAGGACAAGTATACGCTTCAAAAGAAACTTCAGTGTGAGATTGATAACAAGCTGATGAAGTTCTTATCAAATCTTTTAAACTAGCCCGATTCATTTCTGTGACATGACTAGATGGTCTCTAAACAAGCTACTTTGACTGAAAATAGGCTGCAATTAAATAGGCTGCAAAACATTTTTTAAAGGATCTGAAACGCAATTGATTTTTAAAAGTGAGTCGCAATAGACACGAAGTTCGTCGAGCAATTTCTTAAAAAGACTAACGATAATAATTAGTCTTGAACGTCTTAAGAAATGTATTGTTTTTCTGGAAATGAGCTGTTAAATTTTGTGAAATTGCGTTGCAATAGTTATGATTTAGATTTAAACTAAAATCCAAATAAAAGTGTGTTCATAAATAGGGAATAAATCCAGAAAAAGCTAAATAAGAAGGCCATCAGTTTGTACAAGCAATAATTTGATCGTTCGAACAGCGGTACCCAATGTTAAGATACTGTGTTTTGAGGAACGAACACAACATTAAAAAACCAATTCGTAATTTTTTTTGGGTTTTTGTTAGTTGTGCTTTCCTTGTCGTTCTTTATAAACATTCTAAAATTTTTTGCACAGAAGTAAAAACTATAAAAATTAATAAATTTGAACAACAAAGCGCGTGTTTTGATGTCCAGTTTTCTGCATGGCATTCATCGCTTTGATGACTAGCGCTTTAAGTTATCCCGCAATGGCAAAACAAAAATTGCAACATTAATCGCAAGCAAAAACAAAGGTGTGAAATTTTTCTTTAATAATCTAAATTAATTTCAATTATTTGCGTTTTGCAACCGAGTCATTTGAATCAATAGTTAAAAAGGATAGCCCATTTCTGTGCGAGCAGCCAAAAATGTTCCGACCATGACCTTTGGAAAACTAGGTTTGAAAGTTTTTTTTCCAAACTAGTGTAGTTTTTTTCTACTCGATGTGATCAAAAGGTTTTGGTGTAATAATTAGGCATATTAGACAAAAATAGTATTAAAGGCAAATTCTATCAAAATTTTCAAAAGAAAATAAAAAAAATTTAAAAAAATATTTCAATTTTTTTTTGCAGTAAATTTTCAATTTTTTGAAGTTATTGGTTCCCAAAATGAAAGTAAAAATTTTCAAAAACTAGCTTTACTTGCTAGTTTCTCGTTTTAAATTCCAAGGTCTTAAGTTAGGCATTATTCAGTTGTTGTAAGTCTGCTCGCTTGCTTAGTTTGCTCGAATTAGGGCGAAAAATAAAAAAATTCAAACCGGTTTTGCTCGACACTGAGAAAATTTTTGGTACGTTTTTTAATGTGGTTCCAATTGCAACTGAAACTACTTTAATATGTTGTATCACTCAACCCAGCCCACTGATTGTTTGTGGTACCTAATTTTGCTTGAAAACAAAAAGCAAAAAAAACTAAAACACACTCGAATACAAAGTTCCTCCACCTTTTTCAAATGGCCTGAACAAAACCATTTTATTGTCGAAAAAGTTTCGTACATACAAACTAAACTTTATTTGAAGTTTCTAAACACTGTTTGCTTATATTTTTATAAATTTTATACTGACTATATACTTATTACATTTTTATTTTTTTACATACATATTTTATACAAATTTTTTGCAGAGTGTACAGGTCATATATACATTATATACAGATTGTAATCAGGTTACATACAGACCATATGCTATTTATATACAGATTACACTCTGATTTTTTTAAAAAATGTTTCTTCCTTCCATCTAAAATGAGTAAAATGAAGAGGAATTTGATTTTGACAGGAAAGACATTTTTTGATATCAGTCTTATACGAATAAATTACACAAAAAAACGAGGGTGCATTTGAACAAATTATTTATTTTTTTTTCGAGACTAATTTTTTGCATTTTGAAGAATGGAAGAATTCCAATCCCCTCAAATAAAAAAATTCATACCTGTTTGCGTAACTCTTTGTTTCTGGCTGATTGTAATGATGCTCAGATTGATTTACACAAATTAGTTAAAAAAGCACGCGAGTTCAACAATGAAAACGTAATCACTACAGAAAAATTAAGCGCAGTTTTGAAAACACACCGAACATTTATAGTTTTCTTAGCTTCGCTTAGAAACTTTATTAAGACCTCAGCGGTTTTCGCAGCCATGCATTTACCTGCTGTTTTCAAAAATCGAATTGTACAGGTGAGCTCACGGTATAAGACTTGAAATAACACAAAAAAGCATAACACATTCACTCAAAGCTGCGCTTCTCAACGTCAGCAATTACTTATGATGCAATTAATAAAAGAAAACTGATTGCTAATAATTTTGAACACTCATCTAAAGCTCTGAGCAGCACACAATATCTGTCTATAAAAATATTTTTTGAAGCTCAAAGTGTCAATTGAATTACCGGCATCTCGGGGTCTCAAATTTGCTGATTTTTGCTTTCTCCTGACATGGGTCAAGTTTTGGCTTTTTCCACCTCCCCATCCACCAGGCGAGGTTTTACTTGCTTTTTTGCCAATCATACCGCTTATCTCATCAAATCTGATCAAGTAATTTTGGTGAAAATTTATGCGAATTAGTATAAAATAGTAAATAAAAAACTTTCAATTCCAAATCTAGATTTTAAAAAGCAACAAGATTGGGTTGCAATAAAACTAACTGAATCACAAAATGAAAGTCATGTGGTTCTCAGGAATAAAATTTTATCAACAAAAAGCAAACCTCGTGCAAGTCTGAATTTTAGGAGCAACTTTTCTACTTCTACAGTTATTGAATCACATTGAGCCAGGTATCTGTTCAGCAATGCAATTTTAACCCGAGACAATTTTTTTTAATGATTTTTGTACCAACGTTCAATGAAAGGCTTGTATTCAGGTTTGTTTTCAAGTGTATTCAACTTTGAAAAAAAATTGCTTAAAACATTCAGGTGAAGCTAAATACATGCACATGCCAACAAAAAGTCTTCGAGTCAGCGTGAAACAAAGTTGATGGCAGAGTCAACAGAGTTTAACAATGGTTTCTTTCAACTTCTTCTACAGAATTACTCATGTTTTCTCCGTTTAGCTAAAAAAAACTTCCTGAAAAAATTTTCAAGCAAGACTAAGACTTTCCTTTTTTTGACGCTAGCAAAAGAAATTAGAAATGAACAAGACTGCTCGCTTCAAAACAGTTCTTTGCAAAACTCGACTGCCAAAACTTGGCTGGGTTTAAAAATAGATGAAATTCTTGATTAAAGAAGAGTGATTTGTTACAATAGGTGGTAATTTTGAGTGTTGTGCATGTATTGAATTTGAGAACAATAATGCATAAGGTAGTCATTTCATTTTCAATCAGATATTCTACTACTAAGATAGTTTTTGTAAATACATTACTCTGCCACTTGAAATGCTATTGAAAAATTCAAAATTTATACTTCTTTTGCCAAAAAATTTGGCTTTTGAAACAAATTATAAACGATGTTCGAAATAAAACAAAAAAGCGATTCAGCTATTCAAATCGAACCTACCACCTATTGTAATATATCACCAAAAAAGTTTAGGAGTTTCATTAATTCATTCCCCAAAAGTGTTTTACAGTCCAACAAACTTTTAAACACACAGCAACGTATAAATTAGATCCAACATTATGCAATTATGGTTTTGTCTTTTGAAACGAAAGAAACGGAATGTTTGTAGTGCATCATTCGAAAGGTATTGCTTTCCTGAGCTTAAATTTGAAAAGATATTTAACTTGTGATTGTTTTTTGTAAAGTTGTGGGGGTTTAAAGATAGCCTTTTTGAACAATTTAAAGAGCTATTAACGCGTAAGCGGAGATTTAATCCGTCTTAGAAATCGTTCCGAATTGGTTGAAGAAAGCTTTTTTTGCCACAGTTGATTTGTTGCTAGGAGCGAAATCTATCACTTTGTACTTTATACGGCGTGCGGGGGGGATGATTTTTGCAAAAATTTTAAGTTCAAAAAATATTATACTTTTTTTACATTTAATTTTTCATGTTATTTTAAATTCTTTTATTATATTTTTCACGTTATTAATGGTCCATAGACCTTAAAAGGCAGTCGAAACATTCAGGGCCTCACCCTGATACGAGCCGTCTTGTTCATTTTGGAATAATTTACAGTACCCTTTGCGCTTTGATAGGACGAAACATTTCGCGCCTTTTAATTATCACAAAAATGATTTGTAGTGGTTGTAGTAGTCTAACTACCAATTCCACATAACTTGAACACAAATGGTCTTAGGTGGAATTGCTTTTTATATCGAGCTGTGTACAAATTTATTTCAAGTCGTATAAAAACTGCACAGAGGTATCTGATTAAAAAATTGAATTTTGTCGGAACCTGGACGGGAGAAAAATCACCCGAGCAATAATAGTTCGTCTCTTCTGTCGAAGTTTAGGTAAGCAATCATTTGATCTCAACCGAAAAAAATTCGGTTAAGTTCTTGTTTAAATAAGATCTTATTTAAATTCTTACACCTAGAACTTTGAAACTTTTCTAATAAAAAAAATCCAAAATGGAATTTTTCAGAATCTTAGGAACTTTTCAACGAAATCAAAGAATGAGATTGAGCAAGACCTAGACTGGTCTAAGGTTTTGGTCTGATTTGGAAGTGCAATTATTTCTGCGTCTTCAAATTCAGAAAAAAATTCTGCATAAAACTAATTCGAATTAGCCAATGTGTAGTGATTTTGGGAAAACACGACAAGAAATGCAAGTTTAGGGTCAAAAACTGTTTAAATGGTCTTTTAAATATGAAACAATCTGATTAAGGAAAAATACTGGACAGTAAAAAAATACATTTGTAAACACTTTTTATGCAGGTGTTGCATATAGTAGACATAGATGAGGACGAAATTACTGAATGCAGAAATCTTATGTTCGGAAATAACGGTAATTATTTGAAAAAAGGGTCACTTCTCAGCTTCCAAATTTGTACTTCTCAATTAGTTTGCCTCAGACCAAACTGAAATAATTTCTGCACATGATTAAATAGCTGCTCACGCGTCAATAGCGCGAAACAAATCCAAAATTAATAATCCTAATTGGCTTTTTCAAACCTCCATGCAGAAAATGAAGACAAGAAAAAAAACAAGCATGAATTGAGCTTAAGACATCCCGGTCAAGTATACCCCCTCGACTGTCTCACACGTATCCCCACCATTCTTACTTCACTCACTTACAACCACCTGTCCCTCAACAAGATTTGGGGATGAGGGTGTGGGTTGGGGATGATTTAGTTGATGGGAATGAGAGGTTAGGTGTCGGGAAAATTGCTAGAAGGGGTAAGTATGGAGGGGATTAGTATATGATTGTTCAATTTGGATGCTAAAAATGTCAAACGTGTCAGAGACATTAGTTTTCAAATGGGATATAATCAACTGAAATGGACGTTTAATTGGTTATTAAAACTTTTAAAAGTAATAAAACATAATGGATTATAACTGATCACATGGTAATTATAAGCGTTTATAATGACAACAGTTTTAAATATGCAAATCGACTATAATCTATAATGCTCAACGTGACATCTGTGCGAGTATTTTGTTTCCTTTTTTGAAATTAGTCGCCCTGATTTCTTGCGCTAATTTTGCGATTTCCATGAGAACAGAACAATTTACTAAAATTGAATTTTACTGTCAGTTAAAATTGCGTTCGTTCAGTTATCAGAGTTCCAATAAGAATTTAGTAGGCCACTTTTTTCGTTGGTTTTTTTTTTACTTTGAGGTAGTCCTCAGAAATGTATCACTTTAGCCTGAAATTCAACTGAAACGATTTCTTGGAATTTGTCATTTGACCACATCTCAAGTTTTTTTGTCTGATTTTATTGAAGCTCTAAAGACCAGTTTTCTTGTTCACGATTAAATCAAAACTCAAAAAATCTCGCTTTAAAATAGATTAGTCTTTTTAGGTGCTTTATATATTTGTTTCACACTGCTCGACCAATCTTTGACTATACACTCTGCCATAATCAAGATCATGAATGAGCAAAATCATAATAAATTCAAAACAAAATAGCTTAGCTAATTTATTTGAATCAGTAATAGGAATTAGTGTTTCTTTAATTGTTCCGACTTTTGATACAAAAGTAACGGATTATTTGTGCTCCGGGTGGGTTTTTTTTTCTTCAGACAAATTTCGACTTTTTAATTAGCCATTTTTAACGGAACTTTTTTATATCATTCGAAAAGTATTGCTGTCCTGAGCTCAAAATTAAAAAGATATTTCACCTGTGATCTTTTTTCGTAAAGACACGGGGGTGAAGATTGATATTTTGACCAATTTGGGACAATTAACAGGCGATATATTTCGCGCTACTAACGCGTAAGCGGAGAGTTAATCCGTGTTAGAAATTGTTCCAAATTGGTTGAAAATAGCTTATTTGCCATAATTGTTTTGTTACAAGGAGCGAGATCTACCCTTTTGTACTTTATATGCTGTGTGGGGGGATGATTTTATTAAAAAATTGCAACTATTAGGAATTTTTTTTCACTTTGTTTCAATAATTTTTCCATATTATTACTGCTCCATAGACCTTAAGAGGCAGTCGGAACATTCAGGGCCTCGCCCTGATACGAGCAGTCTTGTTTTGATATAAAGATGTTTTAACTTCGCTATTAGATTTTTCAACCAGCAGTAGTATATAGTGCATCAGTATATAGTGCATTAGGATCGGGGTGGGTTGTCATACATGTATGACAATTAGGTATAGATCATAATGGTCACTATGTATTATCTGACGACCAATGGTCACCATTGAAAAATCCAAATAGTCACCACGTGTTTTTTATAACTAATAGTCCTGATGTAAAGTTTCGATATTTTATTGAGTATTCCCACTGAAGTTGTGTTTACATGTTTGGTGTTGGAAAGGATTTGCTAAAACTTCGTTCCAATAATAACTGATATGTTTCACTGCGCTTTTTCCAGTTTGCTCAATTCTTCATAACACTTTGATTCAATTTAAATTGAGGTACAAATAGATACAAAAATATGCTGAAAACTCTTTCGTTTAATTGAAAATGATTATATCCACAATTACCTGAGTTCCAAAACTGGAACAAAATCTCGC